ACGATTCGGATTAGATAAATTGTCATTTAGTACAAACATACATTTTTTATTTTATAATAAATATGTTTGTGTTTAAAATATATTCTTATAAAAGTTTTGTTATTATGTAGCCAAAGATGTACCTTAACATACTATACATTAATTTTCATTTTAATAATGTTAGTCAAATTACCCCATACCATCAGTCATCTTATCCCGGTTCCGGAGCGAGTTAAATCAAATGGAATTCATTAGAAAAATGAATTTTTTTCATAGTAATTATCAGTTTTCCCTTATTATTAAAATATTATTAGATAGTCAAATGTATGTAGTAACTGGCATAGAATTCATTTTTTCGATAAGTCTCTTAATTTCGTCTGTAAAAATTCGAAACTGAAAAATGAGTCTACTATCCCCGGTCTATAATGAACAATGCTGCAAAAAAGCAACTAGTTTAACCGTCCTATATAATTATTTTGACTGTCTAGTAAAATTATGTTTTCAAATCTGTATTTAGCTAAATTTTTAGATATTTTAGCAAAACGGTTCTTTTTGTGCATCATTATAATCTGGAAAAGGTTCTGAACTTCATCAATACATAAATTTTTCTTTGCGATCTTTCTTCATTATAGCGATAGTGATTGAGCGTCATTCTATTCAAAAGAATTCCGTGATTCTAAACAGGGTTGTTATGTTTAAAACATTTGTATTTAAAACAAATGTTTAAAATATGTTTTATACACTGTACTGTTTTAAACAAACATATGTTTTGAACAGATTTTAAACATGTTTAAAACAAGTGTTTAAATCGTGTTTTTTAAAAGGAAAATAAGGAAATACGAATTTTAGGCTAATAATATCTTTATACATTTATATATAATAATATACTTTTTTTTTTATATAATGTAAGCATGAACATATTTATATATATTAAATAACATTGAACCATGAGAATTTCAAACTAAATATTAATGATAAGGCCATTACGGTCTAGCGGGGAACTTGGATGCTTCTAATAATTCTAATATAATTAACATGTGAATTTATATACTGCGAATGTAGATTTTTATGCGTGCCGAAAATCCTTCAGACTTACAACGCAAAACTACCGCAGTAATATCACGAGTTAAATTGACAAACAATCTAACCATTTTTGATGCATATATAACGTCGGTACATAAATTCACACGTTAATTATATTAGAAGTATCCAAGATCCCCGCTAGACCGTAATGGCCTTATCATAAATATTTATATATTTTTAATATATTATATATATATATATACTTTCTTTCTCTGTTAATCTGTTACATAAAAACAAAAATTGAATAAAATTAAAAACCCAAAATCTTGATTTAAAAACTAATTTGGCAATAGTTTATATTTATTTTTGACTTATTCTGAATTTTTAGAATTTAAACTTTTCATAATAGATACCAACTTTGATGCTTTTTCTATTCCTAGTCTATTGCGTACTTTACTGTGTATAAACTATTATATCACCGAATTCACCGATGATTATTAAAACGGTCGAAAGCATTTTAACTATTAACAAAGGGGTCGCTGGAAACACTAAAAACTGTGAAAATCCGGTCACAATCGAAAAATATCTCATTCTTAAGATCTTAAGATGATCTTGAAATTAATTAAAATAAGAATAACCTATAAATATCAGATGTTTTAATAATGTAAATAATTAAATAAATGTAAATAAAATGTAAATAAAATTAAATAAGTAGTTTAACTAAAATTAAACATATTTTAAACAATATTTAAAAAAACATGTTTTAAACTGTTTTAAACATGTTTTAAACATGTTTTTTTTAAATATTGTTTAAAACATGTTTAAAACATTAAAAACATATTTTGAATAAAAAAAACACAATGTTTTGTTCTTTTTAAAAAAAACATGATTTCTATCAACCCTGATTCTAAAGCATAACATCTCTTTGGTGAACCAAGCAGCGATCAAACCAGTATGCATCGTGCATTAATTTTTAGATAGAATTCCTATTCTAAATTTTGACAGCATCGTATACTCTAACAATTTACATATGTAAATAAACACTGTTTTGTTCACATTACATGGAGCTGTCAGCAACGCACAATTTGTTCTCTTGATAGATTAATTTACGAGTGCTATCGCAAAAATCTTGTCTGACAAGAGCGTGTTCAATTCTGCATAAGACAAACAAAGGGGAAGGATGAATTATAATGAATGCCTTAGAACATAAATGCGTTAATGACTGAATTTCTCGAGCGTTCTCTGTGAATCGCGCAGGACTCCCACGCAGAGATTCAGACTATTATATAAATGTGCTAACCAGTGAAATATATGCAATCTGTGCAAATTTCATGGATTAAACAAATATCTCTTTACTCTATCTGGCACGCCACTTGCAAGCGATTAAAGAAATGCCGTAAAATTTTCCTAATGAATGCGGGAGAATTCATTCATGACTTTTCTTGTTGATCCGCGAAAAAATTGTATAAGTTTTTCCCGGCGGAACCTGTTTCGCCCCACCGAGTAACACGACCGCCGCGACGTCGTCATCGTTTTCTTCGCACTTCTTTCATGCCGACTATATTTATATATGTAGGAAATCGGTTAATCAGTTGAAAGGTTGTCGCGCTCCATTCTGCATATGCAACTGAAAAAGAATACCTACCTAAAGAATATTCTTCTCAAGGTGCACGCGCAACGGCTGAGAGCAATGAATAAGAATTACACCGTGTTATGGTGGTTTGGTCATGGGAAATTCAGTTTACTGCCTTCCAAATCGCTGTACTATATATCTTACCCAAACATTGTACGAGGGAAGTAAATCGTCCAATGACGATATAATAAAAAATATTTTAATGAAACCTAAAGGCAAGTTATCGCCAAATTCTCTATCGTAATATTTTTGCAAATTTTAAAACTTTCAAAAACTTTGTAATTCGAAAAATTTCAAACGTACCGGATCAAATATATCTATCGAAAAATATGAAAAATACGGAAAAACGTTTCTGCAAACAAAAGTTGCATCGCTTGAAGGAGTGCAATAATGGTTTTTGAAAGAATCAATTTTATAAGGTTATATAAAGGTTTTCGTAATTTTTTATAAAGGACTTGTAAGATTTTTTTTTTGCATAATATGACTCCTCCAATTAATTATTTTGCGTATAAAAGTATTAGAGTAAAGATATCGAAAAATCAAGAATAGTCGAAGATACAGATTCTGATTTTAATTTTATAATTTAGTAATAGTTTACGGAATATATTTTATGCCTTATTTTGGAACATTGTAATATGAAATATGTAGAATATCTCATCAACTATTAATTTTTTACAATCGTACCTGAATTTTTATGCACAAAATAATGGAATAAATCAATATGTATAAAGAAAACACATATATAGTTGCTTAAGAAGAAATATGCAATTTCATGTTGTTAAACGCATAATCTTAGCTTTTAACAAATTTAAATCTCATAGGACCGACGTGCAGAACTCACTAATAATATGTAATAAAGGCCTATTATCGGTCGAAGCTAAATTTTTAATTGCTTCTTTTTAAATAATTCAAATTGTGAATTATCTATATATGTACTTGCATATATACCATATTTATAGTCATATTCACTACGCGCCGAAATTTTTCCGGACTTTACAAACGCAGCTAAACTACTGAAATAATATCACAAATTAAATTTTGATGCTCAATAAACAACTATTGTAGAAATCTTAACCTAATAGAATCTGTAAATAAATTTTTAATTATTGCGAAAAATATTACCTCGGCCGGACCTTAGCTTTTAATAATAGCAACTACGTAAAAGAATATAATAGTTGCTTATTAAAAATATTTTGTATGCATAATGTAATTCATCTAATTATTCTGTATATATAAATGTATTAAGATAGAGATATTGAAAACTCAGTAGTTATACACATAGATATAAAATATAAAATTAATACTTTGTAAACTGTATTAATTTTTTGATAATCGTATTTTAATACTTTTACGCATCGAATAATGAGATGAATCATTAATTTCTTTACATTAATGATTAACAATTAACATTGATCTCATGTTACTTTTGTTTGTCGACTGGGCAGAGTTCCATATCGTCCGAATTCTTCACAAATAGTACACTTTTCATTGGGTGGAAACTTGTGAAATAAAGATTGAATGAAATAAAGATTTTTTATTCTCACTTTATTTCAAGTTTATAACTTAATTGCAATTAATTATTAGATAATTATTAAGATAAATCTCTCTAAAAGTTAATAATTTTATTGCATTAAGAAAGTTCGAAGAGCATTAGTTTCTCTTATCAATTAATTTCATCAATCAGTTACTAAAAAGTTTTCAGATTTTGATAATGTTTGTAAATATATTTTGGACAATTCTTGTGTAGATTCTCGTATTTTGACTTTTGACTATATTTTGAGTAGCATATTAGGACGAATGCTGTCAATAAATCGTTAGTCAAGTTCGATCCGTCTCACGGTATCCGTGTGTTGATCGACGTTATATGTTCCCAATTGTGCGTGATCTTTAACTTTAAGATAATGACATTGCGATTAAGAGTAATTCGAATTATCATGCAAATTGGAAGTACACCTAACAAACTTTAGTATTTTATTCTAAACTTCGTGAGAAGTAAATTTTTACGTAATTAATATAAGTCGCAAAACGATTATCATAATTATTTTAACTTCTTCCGCATTGCGAATATATTTCCATGTGTTAGTGAAGGTAACTTGTGTAACTGTTTGCAACTGCATGCAACAACTTCATCACATAGAAATTCAAATATATATCAACAAGTTATCTTGTAATAGTTTAGTGTAAAGAATATTGTGGTCTGACGTATATTCTATGAGAGATTTGTCTTGCACAGTTATTGTATAATAACACCTTTATAAATTATTTATTTTAATTAAATGTAACAGTTTATTTGTATCAAGTGAAAACAACAGATACGGTATCGAAAACTACATCCACGGAGATAGTTCCTGTTTTGAGCATAACATTAACGTTCCATTAACGGCAGCATTCATTTATCGTGACAATATTGATTGTTGTTCACAATAAACTCGTACGTACAACGAATCAGTCGATCATATGTGCGTAACTAGTCGCAAATACGTCTGAGTTTGACGATCATTGGCAAGAAAAATGGTTTTTGGACGCTTTGTTAATCTATTTACTGTGTATAGATCGTATAGATACAGACGTATGGTCCATATATCAGGTGCCAATTCAGTTTTAATTATATAAATTTGAATCAATCATATCATTAGAGTTTACCATAACTGATTGCTGTTTCTGCTTCTAGGTGAAGAAATAAAGTCTGAGGTTTCGGGTCCCGCAGACTTCGAACGAGCAATTATAGCAACAGGTGAGTAAATTATATATTATAGGAGAGTTATCAAATAATTAAGTCACTTTTTATTATATTTTCCTTTTGACAATGATTTTTGTACATAAATAAATATTGGAAATTGCAGCTTAATGCTTCAGATATCTATTATTATGTGTTTAACCTTTCAATAACAAATTAATTTAGTTAAACACTAATTTAAACATTTTTAGACTGTATTATATGAGAAACATAATTAATAATAGAAATTCAAAGATCTAGCTTCAACCGTTATGAGCCTTTGAATTTCTATTATTAATTTAGTTAAGTCTTTAGTTAAGCCTTTTTGCAATATGTTGCAAAAGATATGATTTAGGCAATTGATCGTTTAATCATTCATGATATGGGTTTCGTAAATTGCACTGTCTTTAAAAATATCTAAATATTTAAATATCTAAATATTTATGAATTAATATAATTAAAAGTATAAGATTAATAAAGGGGATTATCAACTAATATTTATTTTATTAGTAATTTATCGAAAAATGTCAAATATTTAACAATTAATACATAATAAAGAGGCAAGGACATAAAAATAAAACTGACTCGAATTTATATTTTTTAAATTTTGACATATTTTTATTTATAGTTATTACTATAGTATAGTTTTACTATTATCAATATTCAGTGTTGGGTAGTAACTAATTAAAACGTTAAAAGTTAAAACAGTTAAAAAGTTAATAACTTTTAACTTAACTTAGTTAATTTTAAATGCATTAAATTTTAACGTAACTAAATTACTTTTAAACGTTAACTTTTTAACTTTTTTTTAAGTTAAAAATGCTTTTTATTTCTTTTAAATATCTTAGAAAAATAATAAAATATAATAAGACTAAGGTCGTATATTCGTAATCCGTTCATATTTTAAGACCATCTTAAGTAATTTCTTAAGGTGTGTGTGTGTGTGTGTGTGTGTGTGTGTGTGTGTGTGTGTGTGTGTGTGTGTGTGTGTGTGTGTGTGTGCGTGTGTGTGTGTGTGTGTGCGCGTGCGCTAATACAATCCTCTGGTTTATGTCTTATGCCATAAGCCTTAGTCCGGATATACAATAGGTGTTTTAAACCTTAAGTCATAAGAAATTGACCAATTACAGTCGAATGCGAGGAGAATATTTGACTGTAATTGGTTCATTTTTATTGGCTTAAGGTTTATTAAAAAGTAAAAACCTAAAAAGTTATGTTGTATTATATGTGAATAAAAAAAATTAAAAATTTAATTTACTTAATAATCTATATTGTAGTTGTTATTTAATCTCATTTTAAGAAAAATTAGAATTTTGATCTCAAAAATAATTTTTTTCGAAATTAATTTTTTTTAAATTTAAGTTAATTTAATATTAACTTAACTTCCGTTAAGTTAATTTTTTATTCTTTCAACTTTTAACTTAACTTTATTAATTTTGTAAAACCATTAACTTTAACTTTATTCAGTTAAAAAAAAACATTAACTTACCCAACCCTGTTAATATTTTACATTAGTATCATTCAGTGTAATAAATTTATGGTGCTACGATTTAAGAAACTTGATAGATTTTATAGAAGTATATGTATATATATAGATTTAATTTTAAAACAATTGCAAATAGGTATATACACAATAAATGTAAAATATTTTACAATAATAAATATTTTATGAAAATTCAGAAATATATTATAAAAATTCAGAATAGCATTGCATGGTTATTATCAGTAATATGAAGCAATAAAAATTAATATCAATTGCATGTAATATTGATTTTTTAAAGTGCCGTTTAGCATACAAGATGTAATCTATTAAATTTTTGCCTATATTATACTCTATATTTTTCATTTACTTCATATTTTTGCAGCACCAAATGCTGCTTATTATTTATATAAGTAAAAATATTGATACAATTTAGATCACACATTTAACAACTCTTCCCTACATACAATTTATAAGTTTTGCTATTACTTATTTAATAATACATTTATCGTCCTGCAATAGCTTTTTTTAATATTCTCATCCTTTTTTATCTTCAAAAGAAATAAACTATTGATATATATCTATTTAATTTTTTAATAAATATTTGTAACACATAAACATCAAAGAATGTGATTAAATTTCTGTTGGCATGTGCATGTGATTAATTAAACATTAGATATATTATTATATTAGAAATATTATTATATATATAGATATATATATATTGTATGTATGTATATCTACATATCTGTATATCCATATATCGATATGGAAGACTAGGATTCATTCATAATTTTCACAATTTCGGTATTCGATCGTTTAAACAACTAATTATTATAATTAAACGATATTAAAGAGAGACTTGTTCTGTATTTTTACGCCAGGAATAATCCTGTATACCGCATAGTTTTTTTTAGTAAATAAAATATGAGAATACGCTACATTGTAGCCAAGGACAGAAAGTGCGGGTATTTTCTTCAGAGACGCCAAAGTGTCTGCGAGTTATCTCTGTGTCCTACTTCATGAACCTTGCCGTTCACTTTATTAGGACGAGGAGCACACTGCACTGATACAATATCAGTGCGTTCCTCGCCCTGATGAAATGAAAGGCAAGATTCACGAAACATTGGTATTAGCAATAGATCACGACACGGCGATAACCCGCAAACCTTTGACACATTTTTATGTTAATTTGTATACTACGACTCTAATGTGCACCGATATGCACTGAGTGCATCCAATCGAATTCGTTTGTTTAACATTTGTTTGAGTTAACATATGTACCTTATGTGTTTACATACGTTTAACTTTATTATTTCATTATAAAAAGTTACTGTTATTAACAATAATAAGATTGAAAGACCGCTAATGTTAAACATAATAATATTAAATTAAGAAGCGCCATAACGGTCAGAACGTTAAGATGTTGAACTATTGTAAATTCATTTAAATGACGCTTCTTAATTTATTACTGTTATTAGTTAAAATAATATGTAGAGTATAGTGACAGAGAAACTTTTCTTTTAATTAATTTTTCTAAAATTTAAATTATTCTCTCAAGTAGTGTGAAATTTTGAAACATTTGAAGACTATAATTACTTATTATATTTCTTATTGAATCAAATTTTCTTTTTTTATTGTAATACTTCTTTATTAAATTTAGAGAAAAGTGCTTACATTATAAAAGAGATATTTTACGGTAACATTTTATCCTTTTTTCATCGATAAATAGGTACATAAACTAAACGCAATGTTAACTTATCTTTTGTGTCAACAAGCCCCGATTTCCTCTATTATATCGATGATTATATTGATGATCCTCAAGATGTTAAACGTGTTAATTATGAATATTTGTCGCATTGAAAACAAGACTAATTCAATGTACATACGTTAAAATATTTTTACCTATGTGCCAGGATATGGAAAATTTAACTATTTACTATTACTGGCGGTGCTACCGGCCAGCTTCTCCAGTATCTTTTCATCGTCAGCAATGTCCTATGTCCTACCATCCGCCGAATGTGATCTTCAGTTAACGATGTTCGACAAGGGACTGTTAAATTCGATGGCGTTCGCAGGTAGTATCTTGATTTGCTTAACAATTGCATAACAACGCTTTATTACAGATGCCAGAGAGCTCAATGAGAGCCCTGGAACCCTAGAGCTTGGTATACTTAAAGTCTGTACGATTATCGTGCGGTGTACACTGCCGGTTCATTCGTAGGCAATAGTGAGGGCAAAACGCGCGAACTCACGGTAAATACCGTACCATTTTATTTCTTGTGGCATGCGAATTCTGATCAACCAATTTTTGACCGCTTGTTTTCGATGCTTTTGATCCGTAAACAATTAACGGCCGATTAAAGCGCCTCTACCATATAAGCCTTAAGGTACAGCCATCATGGGGCTTTCCTCGCAATCTGCAACGACTTTTTGTTAAGAGAACTTTGAACCAATTGTAAACATTTGCAATCTGCCATGGCTATTTGTCTTTCCAATTTAAAATTAATAAGATAAAAGTGTATCAGACACACACACACACACACACACACGCACGCACGCACGCACGCACGCACGCACGCACGCACGCACGCATTTACGAATTACGTTTAAAAGCTTGGTAAAACATTTTTCATGCATGAGTATACATAAATATGTATAAACATACATACATGTATAAATATTTATAAACATATCTGGAGACACGGTAGTGTCTCGGTGCTAAGCTAAGCGCAGCGACACTGCCGTGCCTCTTTTACGCGAACCGACGAGTTGCGGCAGACTGAGACAATCGGATCTCGGTAACGGCTGAACTGATCAAATTCTATATATGCTCATTCGATAGGCACCACATAGATTGTGTGATAAAAGTGCTTTTATTTTTTTCTACGTGCCCTACGAGCGGAGATATCACGACGCAAAGTTCCGAACTGCTACTTTTTCAGATTCAGATACGTCGTTATTATCGTCATCGTCTTGATCATTATTATTGTCGTCGTCGACCACATATACGTGGAGGGGATATGTCCTTTTGCACCGCCTGGCACTAGATGACGGTAGAGACGCTCAGATGCCTGCACATTCCACTTGATGTAATGAGGCCCGCGGCGGTGTGCGGGGCGCGGGACGTTTGCTAGGCAGCCCCCCCCCCGTGCATCAAGCTATTGATACCATGTGACGCGTACGTGGCACAAATTATTAATTAAAATTAAAATGAAATATTGAGATTGTCGTTGAATTGAATAATCCATCTAAGTATTTACCGCGTCGAGGAAGAGGGTGTCTAGATGTTCACCGTCGAGAAATTAAGCGTCTAGGTGTTCGTCGTCGAGGAATTAAGTGTTTAGATATTTGCTGTCGAGGAAGTGGGTGTCTAGGTGTTCGCTATTGAGGAAATGGGTGTCTAGGTGTTCGCCGTCGAGGAAGTGGGTGTCTAGGTGTTCGCCTTCCAGGAAGTGGGTGTTCTAGGTGTTGTCTACATGTTCGCCATCGAGGAAGTGGGTGTCTAGGTGTCCGTCGTCGAGGAAATAGGCATCTAGGTGTTCGCCGTCGAAGAAGTGGGTGTTTAGGTGTTATCTACATGTTCGCCGTCGAGGAAGTTGGTATCTAGGTGTTCGCCGTCGAGGAAATGAGTGTCTAGGTGTCTAGGTGTTCGCCGTCGAGGAAATGGGTGTCTAGGTGTTCGCCGTCGAGGAAATGGGTGTCTAGGTGTTTGCCGTCGAGAAAGTGGGCGTCTAGGTGTTCGCCGTCGAGGAAGTGGGTGTCTAGGTGTTTGCAGTCGAAGAAGTGGGTGCTAGGCGTTGTTTACATGTTCGCCGTCGAGGAAGTTGGTGTCTAGGTGTTCGCCATCGAGGAAATGAATGTCTAGGTGTTCACTGTGGAGGAAATGGGTGTCTAGGTATTCGCCGTTGAGGAAATGGGTGTTTAGGTGTTCGCTATCGAGAAAGTGGGTGTCTAGGTGTTGTCTACATATTCGCCGTCGAGGAAGTTGGTGTCTAGATGTTTGCGGTCGAGAAAATGGGTGTCTAGGTGTTCACCGTCGAGGAAATAAGTGTCTAGATATTTGCCGTCGAGGAAGTGGGTGTCTAGGTGTTCGCAATCGAAGAAGTGGGTGTCTAGATGTTGTCTACATGTTCGTCGTCGAGGAAGTGGGTGTCTAGGTGTCCGCCGTCGAGGAAATAGGCATCTAGGTGTCCGCCGTCGAAGAAGTGGGTATCCAGGTGTTGTCTACATGTTCGCCGTCGAGGAAGTTAGTGTCTAGGTATTCGCCGTCGAGG